TGGTGGTCGGAGCACTCGGGGCAGTGACCCCCAAACTAGATGAGTGGTTACAACAGATCCCGGGAACAACATCGGACATCTCAGTCCAGAAATGTGCAGTGCTGGGAACAGCAAGGATACTGCGCAGAACCCTCAAGCTTCCTGGCCTCTGAATGGGGGACAGACGCGCGTCGACCTCACAGTGAGGTACCGGGGTCAATTCCAGCTCTGGCATCGCTGTATGGAGTTTGCATGTTCTCCCCGGGCCTGCGTGGGTTTTCTCCGGGTACTCCGGTTTCCTCCCACATACCAAAAACCTTCATGGCAGGCTGATTGAAAACTCTCAATTGTCCCTCGGTGTGAGTGTGAGCGCGGATGGTTGTTCGTCTCTGTGTGCCCTGTGATTGGCTGGCAACCGGTTCAGGATGTCCCCCGCCTACTGCCCGAAGACAGCTGGGATAGGCTCTAGCACGCCACCGCGACCCTTGTGAGGATAAAGCGGATCGGAAAAGGAATGGGGGGCAGATAGAGATAGATATAAGGTTATCCTATCTTATTGTATTATATACATTGAGTCGGAAAAAGTGCATGCAATATTTGAGTTTTATGACACAGCTGTCTTCCTTGCCTCAATGTTGAATCCACTTTATCTTGGGACAGTATCCTGCAGGTTATCAGAAGGAGAAAGAGAATAAAAATGAAGTGGAAGAGGAGGAGACACCCAGCAAGGCAAAGAGAAAGAGGGAGTCCCAGCGCATTGGTAAGATGACTTTCTCCATTTGGGTGGTACAATTGATATTTTTTTTAACATTATATTGACTGCAATTGTGAAACGTCAGCACCCCATGTGAATTCCACCTTTTTATTTTATTTAATTTTTTTAATTAATCAATGATTTATGGTGCCAAGGGAAAACTGCAAGCAAAACTTTGGAATATTCTGTATTTTACGGTCGAAAAGCTGCTACTTTTTTTCTTATTCTGTATTTTACGGTCGAAAAGCTGCTACTTTTCCTTTACGCTACTTTACTTTACCTCTGAATCCTGTAGCTTTTAAAGTGATGCAGTTTATTGATGAGTTTTTACTGACGACCTTAAAGCGGTTAGTAGATTTACCCACAGTCTCGTCACAGATAACCTATGAAATTATCAAACATGTCGCAGTGGACCACGAAACTGTCTGCCCTCCTAGTGTGTGGACAAATATTTATTTATTTCTTTTTATGGGTCAATTTAGCTGTTGCGGCTTTTAATCAGGTGCGTTTAATAGTCCTGAAATTACGCTACACAACATTTCGTCTACAATGTAAATGTTATAGAATTGTTATTCAATGATAACAGACCAAAGGACAATTTTATACAAAGGCATTAAGTTGAAAAATGTATTTGACTAATCAGTAGGCCAGGGAAAAAAATGTAATTGTTTTAATTTTTCTTACCTCAATAACAGTTTTGAAGAAAATTCCAGTACCTCTTGTACCATTTCATTTATTAGTGTATTTACTATTCAGCATTCTCCTATTCACCTGACAGAATCCACCAAGAATTCACCAGCCAAGAGTCCCAAGAAGGTGAAAGTGGAAGTATACAAGCTGTCTGGAGAGCAGAAGGCACTCATTAAGGATGACACGCAAAACAAGAAAGTGTGGGATGAAGCCATGGAGTCACTGTCACTCGGCCCGGTGAGCATTGCTGTCGGTTCCTGCTAAAATCACATGTCTGTGAAAAACATGAATCAATTGACCTTAAGGCAACAACATAGTTTGTTAAAGTGACTGACTGCTCAAGATTTGAAGACTTAGGTGTTTCTTTGACAATAGGAGAGCAAGAAATACAAACTAAAATGGATTGTTTGAAAAAAAAATGTTTTCTCACACATCTAATATTTTGCCTCTGCAGAAATTTCTGAACAAAGTTGAAGAAGTTTTCCTCTGCATTTGCTGCCAAGAAGTAGTCTATCGGCCCATCACCACTGAGTGCCATCACAATGTCTGCAAGGTAAAATAAAATGCCTATGTTAAAAGTGTGTGTGCGTGTGCGTGCGTGCGTGTGTGTGGTAAAATAAAATGCCTATGTTAAAAATGTGTGTGTGTGTGTGTGTGTGTGTGTGTGTGTGTGTGTGTGTGTGTGTTATAAACTAATAGCTGACCTGACAATATATTTATTTTGAACATTCAGGAATGCCTTCAGCGTTCCTTCAGGGCAGATGTATACACCTGCCCGGCCTGCAGACATGACTTGGGCAAAAACTACTCCATGACTGTCAACAAGTCTCTACAAGAGATCCTGAATCAATTTTTCCCAGGTTATAGCAATGGCCGATGATTAAGAGCTGCAACTCAGCCATGGTAGAAACAATGCAAAGTGAAAGGGCAATTGTCGTTTAGAGGCAACAAAGAATTCGTTTCTCCTAATATATTCTTATGAATTATAAATCTACCATTCTTGTGGTTTTTAGTGCTTCTGTCTTCCATGATGTTTCTTCAATGATGTGTTAGTTATGATAATTTTTTTTGTTTGTTTTTTGGTTTCTTACTGCCTGTATCCTTTATGACGTTGCAACCATGAAATGTGATTTTTACAGTTTTTGGTCTATTTACTAATACTTGTTAACTCCACTGAGAAAGAAGTGTCAGACATTTGTTTTGTGTGGTTTTAATTGATTGCTCCTGAAGAGGATGTTCGACATCTTAAGCTATGCCCCCAAATCAGCTTTTTCAAATTTTTTAAATTGTTTCAGTTACAACAAGGGTAATTTTACAGTCATGAAATTCAACTTGATGTTGCACATTAAACCATCAGTTAGGCATCATTTGACTTGGCGGTTTTTTGATTTTGCTTTCTTTACCCTGATCTTTATTTAAATTTTTTTGAGAAACCAAGGCCCAACTAGAGCGGCTGTTCTGTCAGCCTGTTAAACATGGTGTTTTGCCCTGATAAAATCACATAATTGGAATTAATTCCGAAGAAACATGCTTAAAGAGTGTTGTGTAAAACCTCCATTTAGCTGTTATTTTGTTGAGTCCAGAAGTCTCATGTATTTTTTCTCTCTTTTTACATTTTATTAATTGTATTGCTATCCAGTCATTTGTCCCCTTTTAGGGACAGGACCTTTTTTAAAACTACTAAAAATAGTCACAGTATGGAAATGCTGAAATGTATAAAATTCCACACATCGCTCTTGAGCTGGATCTTGAATATACTTGTGTAATTCCTATGACTTGCTTGCCTTCTATGATAATTTACCATTAATTGCAGAAGTTTGAATAGCCACCACCTGGCAGCTGGTCTCTGTTGTTGAGGCTAACATTTACAAAATGGGAAATGTATATTTTCTGAAATTGTATAATGTCCATTTTAGTTTTGATATGGTTTTAGAACTGCTTGCACACTTTGCGAATTTTATCGTATCATTGTTATTCAATAAAAAAAAATTAGAAAATCTTTGTAGTTTGTTTGGCTGAACATGAACGTGTATTCTTTGACGTTAACTTTTTTCTCCAAGGATCTGCACGTATCGACTGTGTACGTGCCTGGCATAAACGGCAACTAAATACGTATACGTTATAGCGTTAAACAGCTGTCATTGGCTGCTTTAGCTGTCTGTGATCAAACGAGCCAATCGCATCATCGAGTTTGTGATCAACCCGCTATTATTGGTGTCATTCGGCCAATCGTAATGTGCAATTTCAGAGGTGGGCGTGACACGAATAGCTTTAGCTTGCTAAATACTAGAGGAAGCTCGGGCCATCAAATTTGTAGAAAACGACACTTCGTCGACTGAAAAATACAAAGAGAGGCGACACTCCGCTGCAGGAGGTAACGATTCCCTAATTTGGACCGCCGTGTTCACGTGCATATATGTTTTTCTTATTTAATCGACGTGTGGTCGTCGTGGTGTTTTTATTCCCCCCTTCCTTTAATTGCCCGTACGGCACAGCTAAATGGGAGCTAACCTCTGTTGAAGTCTGATACAGCAATGTAAGGGTACCGTGAAACGTAATTCACATATATCCGCACCAGTTCGGACTTAAATGCAGGATACCTTTTTAAAGCGGAAACTTTCATCAGTGAGATAGTTTTCTGTTTTCCCGGAAACTATGTTAGCGCTCATAGTAGATCCTCCCTGCTAATCTGTTCGTTAGCAACTGTTTTTTAGTAACGTGACCAGTGTGATCAAAATCGAAATCAAATATTTTGATCAGCTCTCCCACTGTAAAATGTCTCACCGCTGACTGAATGATTCGTCCTGCGGAATGATCGTGAACCAGTTCGTATTGAAATGGTCGGTATAGGCCCTCATTTGTTTTGGTTCTGAAGAATGGGGGTCACCATTCCTTTACACAGCAGTTGAGTTACCGTAATAGTTGAGTTACCGTAATGGTCCTGTCTGATCCTGATAATATGGATGGCATACGGTATATACTTAAAACGACATTGTATCACACGTACAAGGAAACTAGAAGCACATCCAACACCTAAATATATGTTCTGATATTATATACAGTTTGCTCATTGTATGCTTCTTTTATTATTGGATGAAAGTAACTTAATTTGTTATAACTTGGCTGGAAGGGAAATCTCAGCAAAAAAATGCACTGTATCAGCATGCTAACATGTAATGTTTGCATATGTGGCTGAAAATATTCACTTAGCTGACATGATAAGTAGCGTGGAGTGTGGTCCACCTTTGCTCTAGTGCAGCAGTGGTTCTCCATCTTTTTCATTGATGGTTTAGTTTGGTGTTGGATTTCTATCCTGTTGTGATGTTCACAATGCTATGAACTTGGCCAGGGTATCAAGTCAAGTACAACTTTATTGTCAAATGCGCTCTATGTGCAATTTACAGATGAAATTTCTTCCCTCTCAACCAGACAAGAAAAGAGGAGCCTATGCGAGAGCCCGTGCCGCCATCAAAAGAACAGTTAACATAAAATGACAAAATAATACAACAAAACACATAATACAGTCGTGCAATCTTAACCACTTTTCCTGCATACACTTTGTTGTTTGATGAAAGAGGAGTGGATCAAAGACATCATACAATACAATACATGCTGATTTATATAGCGCTTTCACAACAGCAACAGCTGTAACAAAGCGCTTAACAAAACAGTTCACATAAAGTAAAATAATAAACACAACACACAACATAAAACACGGACAGTCGTGCAGTCCTAACCACTTTTCCCTCACATGCTTTGTTGTTTAAAGCAGTTTGAGATGAAAGAGGAGATAATCAAAGTGTCCTTTGACAAGTGGATCAGAGACATCATGCTCAAAATGTGTACACGTCGGCTACAAGCTAAGTTTCAAAGTCAACAAGAAGCTGTAGCATCCATTGACGAAAAAAGAGATTGGTTCACTTCTCCTGTCCCATGGAAATCCATTTCAATTCCAAGCGGCGACTCTCAGTTCCAAAACGCATCTGCGCTCCGCGCCGACGCTCCTCTCTCCTCATCCTCAACTTCAGCAGCCATCCATCCAGCCGCACCAACGCCGACTGTCCAACAGCGCCTACATCTCCACTGAGCAAAACACAATCACCTCAGGGCTGTCCAGCAACGACAGTCAAATGGCGCCGACATTCCTCCCAATCAAAAAAATCAGTGCTGCTACATGTGTGCTGCCGAGAAGGCGCAACCACCACGCACAGATTCTTCTTCTTTGACGATGTCATGGCCAAAAATGCTGAAAACAATCCACACCAGGTCCACACGACGTAACAACAACACTATGTGACAAAAGACAAAAACAACAAAAAACACATGTTAACTGTTCTTTTGATGGCGGTGCGGGCACCCACACCGGCTCCTCTTGTTGTCTGGTTGAGAGGGAGGAAATTTCACCTGTGCTGTATGTTGCACATACAGCGCATTTGACAATAAAGTTGTACGTGACTTGCCTTGTGGCTCCGGCTCACCTTGTGTCTCCATTTGACCGGTGACACTTCTTTTATATGACACTTGCGTCTTTATTTTCACTCCGTCCTTGTTGTATCAACTGATGGCAATCTCTTTGTAGCTTTAACTCTGAAGTGAGTGTCTTTTGTTTGTCAGTTGCCTGTATTCCTCTATTTTTCCCTCGCTCTCAAGACTTCCACTCAGCTTTGCGTTCTCCATACCGCACTACCTGCTATACTTTGGCCTTCGACTCATCAAGATACTGGGTGATCAAAGGGTTGCCATCAGATTGCAATTGCACCTTATTATAATCCTTTCCAAGCTTATAATACTTGATGGGCAATTGCACAAGGTCATCATGCCTCCAATACTTTCAGAAAAATGGAATAAATGACTTAACAGGTGGATGACGCCTAATAATAATAATAATAATAAATGCTCTTGTGATGCGAGGTCCCAGTCTCATTCGGCTGGATCGTCACAGTGCGTAGAGCCGATCAGCTTCACCAGGGCCCGCCAATGACCACGGTCATGAGCCAGGTCCGCTGCGTCCTCCAGGGTAAGGCCCTGGTGCTTGAGATCCGCCCTAATGACATCAAGCCATCTGGTGTGGGGTTTGCGCGTGGCCTTTTCCAGCCGGCTGTAGCTGGATCGAATGAAAAGATGGTGCGAGTGGGGTGTTCCAGGGGTAATCGGAAGAGATGTCCAAGCCAAAGGATGCGCCTCTGAGCGGCCAGTCGAGATGCGGGGGGGCTGAAGAGTACGTTTTCTGAGGTCTGCATTGGTAACATGTAGGTGCCAGCTGATGTTCATGATGGTTCTGAGTGACCTGCTGTCAAAGCCGTCGATCCTCTTGGCCAGGGTCTTGTTTAAAGGCCAGGATTCTGCACCATGCAAGAGGATGGGAAGAACTGCTGAATTATAGATGTGCATCTTGGTCTTGGGACACTGAGTGGTGGCCCCAGAGGGGCCGCCATAGCGATTGCATAGCCGCGAGGCCACGTCTGCGGTCGATCTCTGGCTTGAGATCGCCGCTGCTTGTAATGGTGGAGCCCAGGTAGATGACGGAATTGACCAATTGCACTTCGTTTGTGCCAAAAAACAGGGGAAGGGTGGAGTCCATCACCAATATACCGGTACATAAGTTTTGTTTTCTGCCAGCTTACATGGAAGCCCAGCTTTGCTGCTTCTGTTTGGTATACGGAGAGAGCACTGCTGAGGTGTTGGAGGGAGTTGCTGAACAGGGTGGTGTCATCAGCGTATTCAAGGTCGGTCAGGTGGATGTTGCCAAATGACACGCCTGAGACTTGCTCCCGGACTCGGCTCATAAGGTGGACAGTGACATAGTTAAAAAGGTCAGGAGCGGCCACGCAGCCCTGTCTGACCCCACTGTTAATGGGGAACCACTCTGAGTACCTCCGATTCACACGAACACACCTCTCTGAGTTGTTGTCGAGTCTCTGGAACAATGTGGTTATGTCAGGATGGCGCCTGGCAGTTGGAATATTAAAAACGATTAATATTGTGGATGGCTTTAAATGAGTGGAATATTCAGTGAGGTTTTTATACTGAAAAAACAACATGCAAAATAAGTACCGGTAACTAAACAGAAATAGTATTTTTCTTAAAGGCTTAATAATGCAGTATAAAGACCCAAAATATGAACTAGTCGTTGGACCTCAAAATATTATATTATGCATAGACAGGGCCAGTAGTGCTGGTTCTGCTAGGGCTGGCACAACATGACTCAAGGTGGCCTAACGGGGCAACCACCCAGAAAGGCTTAACGTAGCACCGTCTAAGGATACCATTATTGATCCGATGCAATATCAGAAAATCATGCATCTTAACACTCTGTATGTATTTGTTTTTTGTTGTATAGCAGCATATCTATGTATGAGGGGAAACACTGACTGATTTTAACCTTACTAATAACAATTTACTATAAGGCGTAGAAAAAAAAGTAGTGTGTTTCTACTTACTATACGGTCGGCATTTTTTTCAAACAACCCTCTACATTTTTGTGTAGAGGGATTACATCGGTGCAAACTCTCGCGATATTCACGTTGAGCGCGTGCATCGTTTGCCCTGTCGTCTGTCAACAACATTGAAACATGGCGGCGGCCGCGATCTCCGACGACAGTTTAAACCGCGTTTTCTGTGTTACAGTCGCGTGCTCGCACCGTGATGTTAAGAAAATAGCATCCATTGATGTATCGAAAAAATAAAGCGAACTATTTGATGAACACCACGGGCCGAGTAAAAACCGAGGGCGGAGGCGGCGGCGCGCCCCGGCCCCCCGAGTCCGGAGCGGGGAGAAAACTAAATAGGCAGCGCCGGCCGCGGAGCGGCGGGGGGATTTTTTTTTCCTTTCACATCAGGTTTTTGAGGTATTTTTGAAGTTTGACCTTTAAAAAAAAAAAAAGTTTGTCCGACCTACTGACCCTATGCTGAAATTTCTTGTTACCGCAAACACACTATCTTTTTTGTTTGGCCTAACGAAATGTAACAAATAATCATTAACAAAATCCATTTAGAATACATGATCTTGAAAAATAATGTCAACATAATAACTGCTATGTTCAACATAAATTGAATAGAATAAATAGAAAATACATTTGCATACCCTGAAATAAAAACTATGTGTAATTTTAAAGTGCAAAATGACAATTCAAGTTCACTCCCCCAGCCCAATATTGTCCATTTTCCAACTGCTCAAAAATCGACGGTTCCTATAAAAAAACAATGACGAAAAAAAGACACTATTAATAAAAGCAGAAAACAAATAATAATCAATTGTGTTGACAAAATGATCAAAAGTGATGACACAATGCTCCTCCATCAGTCCATACATGATGTGGACAGCCCAATATTGTCCATTTTCCAACTGCTCAAAAATCGACGGTTCCTATAAAAAAGACACTATTAATAAAAGCAGAAAACAAATAATAATCAATTGTGTTGACAAAATGATCAAAGGTGCCCCTGCATCATATTTGATGCCATGCTCAAGAGCCTCTCAAGCTCAAAACTTGTGCAGGAAGCATCAAGGAGCTTAGCTGATGTTACTGCCGGGATGGAGGGTCCTCCTTGGTCATATTAAATTAACCCTGTTCTGTGCAACCACATGAAACTTGTGTACCATACGTTTTGCACTCACCTGCAATGTCTTTTTAGGATGAAAAATAATGCCACGCATCCAACATCTCCTCTCCTTTCCACCTTGTTAGTGCATTAGCAGATGCTGTTATTGTGAGCGCATGGGCTGTGCATTCTGGATCCGGCATGACGATGGTGGATACAAGTGCTGCAGCAGTTGACTGAAATGGACTCCTTACATTGGAGACTTTAGATGCAGTCTGATATAAGGCGTAGAAAAAAAAGTAGTGTGTTTCCGGTAACCCGACTGACCGAGAATTTCTACCTCGAAAAAAAACTTTACGGTCGGCATTTTTTTCAAACAACCTTCAAATTTAACACACGTCATCATTAGTTCTACCAACAGTTAACATTAGCATTACTACACCTTGTGACGAATGTTTTATTCATAAAGGTACCATGCTACAACCAGTAAATTATAGAATAACCAATACTGTTTCATAATATTTTTCATAGCGATTAGCCTACAAATCTAATGACCAACTTGCCTCGTAATCTTGCCTCTCGTCGTATCTCGCTCTCGTGTTCTGTGCATACATCCCAGGTGAGTTTAGTCATACGCCCTTTGGACGATTCATACGAAAAATCAGACTGGCATTCCCATTTCTTAAATGTCGTAATGAGTAGACCTTTGTGAGTTTTTTTCGCCGCCATCTCAAACTTCCATCCGCGCGATTCCTCAGTTTGCCGACTAAAATAGCAACCCGCATGCGCACATAACGTTATCTGTTGCGTCCCCCCCAACACTGAAAACAAAACAAAACGAAAGTAAATTAGAAGAAACACACTCACACACCACACCACAAACACACATGGAGGCACAGTGAAATCATGTTGATCACACAGTCAAGTCGTGTGCGGTGACTTTAATGGTTAAACTATTTTTCGGTACCGTTAAAATGACGCCACGGAAACTACATGCTACCGGTAACTATTGTTACCGTGAAATCCTCAGGCTTGCCGTAGTTTTTTTTTTTTTTGTTTGTTTGTTTTGACTGAGAAATTTCCTTGCGTCCCAAAAACGCACATTATTTGGAACTGTGCGTCCTGTGGGAAAATTATGCGTCTAGGACGCGGGGCGCAGAGGTAATGAGATGGCTGTAACACCCAGCCGCCGGGTACCCAACTCTCTCGCCGCGGGGGTCTCAATGTCTCCTTGTTTTATGTTTTATGGTTTTTTGTTTACATTTTTGAAAACTTTTACAGCAAGTACTATCACACAAATATCGTGCTGTTTAGCTACATTGGCTAACACTCAGACTCCACGAATGTAGCCCGATTTTGACCCGACAGATGCTTCGCAGGCAAGTGTTCACTGTAATGCTGATCTTTCATCACTTTATGACAATTTAACAGCAGGAAAAGTGAAAATTATAGCTCTAAATGTTTCCAAGATTGGATTTTCACTTGCAGTGCTTTGTCATCAAATTCTGGACCATCTTATCATGTGGCATACACACACAGACGCGCACACATGCCCCTACTCAGTTCTTACTTTTATACTTACTTCCCTATCACTACAGTCAGTAACCTTATTTCAAGCCTCTCCAGAGTCATGTGGTTTACAGAGCTAATTGGCTCCGCATTGTGATAAGGGGGACCGGTTAGCTTTAGCCCCAAGGCAAGACAGTTTACTGCGGCGAGCTTTTTATATGACATTCATGGGCTCAAAGTAATCTTACAAGTAGTCGTGAGTTGTACAAGATTCAGATTTATTACAATTTCGCTAAAGTTTGTAGCCTTACCTCCCCCGATGCGTATAACTCTGAAGAAGCAGCGAACATGCAATTTTCGCTTCTGAGTGGTTGTTACAAACTGCACAAGCAACCAATCAGATGGTGCTAAGGGCGGGCCAATGCTGAATGGGAGTCACAGCAAACAGAGAAGCGCGCTGCAACCATCAGACCCAATGTAACCCAGTTTGAATTTGTCTTCTGTCTTCAAAAAACGGGGGAAAAAGGGGGGGGGGCACATATCAGCCCTGATAATCGGCCCGGCCGAAAATAGGTCCATCACTAATTTATACTATCAGTATAAGTAATCTGTAAGGTGTCGGTAGCTTCTTCTCTCACCTCTTGTGGTAAGGCCTCTTTTTATAGATGTGGCAATGTTTGGTTTATAATCTAATCTCCCAGTCTTGCACGTTTTAATAAAAAGTGAATGAAACTACCATGACCTGGTCATGACGTCACCACTAAATCATCTAGGTATCCATTTAAAAATTGACATTGCATCTCGACTTTCTTTCAGCAAAGGTGTTTTTGGCAAGTTGAAGACTGACATACTGAATGTCCACATTTTCTTCTCTAGGTTTACCTGCACCCTTTAAAGGTGTCCCCAATGGCGACCAACATAGTCATGGATACAATGGTGCCTCCTCATCCTGTTCCAGCATCGTTGGCTACAGCTCAAAATGGGACTCCCATCCAGGAGCCAGTGCTGGCTGAAATACCTGAGACAGAGGTGACTTCGCAGCCCATTCCTGCCCTAGCTGCCACTCAGGCTCAGCCTTCACAGCCATATATCGCTGGTGGCCTTGCGCCTGATTCTGAGCTGCCCCAGGCTCCTCTGCCTCCACCACCACCACCACCGTCCTGCACTAAGAACCCCAACTGCAAGATCATGACCTTTCGTCCAACCATGGAGGAATTTAAAGACTTTGCCAAATACATTGTCTACATGGAGAGTGAAGGAGCTCATCGTGCTGGGCTAGCCAAGGTGAGCACAACACATGAACAAATATTTAATTGTTCCACTCCTAGATAATTGAGAATGTGGATTTGGTAAGGTTACAGGTCAAACTACTGAGTGTTAAAACAAAAAGACACAAAAGAAATTCGTTGTGTAATCATTGAATAAAAATCCAGATAAAATCAAGGTGTGGATGAAGGAATCTCAAGTGGAGAGGCTGCACATATTTACAATAGCTTGACAACAAACTTTGAACGTGAAACAGCTGATATAGATTAAAATTTAAAGCAATGCCCAATTTATGTTACTATAAATCATAATACCAATACTCCCTCCCCTGGCAGACAGGTATTCACATTCACTTGTGTGACGGTTCCATTATTGCGGATCCACTCTAGTTTGACCATAACTTAAACTGTTGCTGCTAGGGGTGCAACAGTACTCCAGTAAAATCTGTGAACCATTCAGTATGGAAACCTTTTGGACCGAGGCTTGCAATTCGATGAAATCATCAGATTCTGAATTCAAATTACGGAATGATTTTACCGTACCATAACATTTTTCAGTCTAAACTAGTCATCTTAAAAAAAAAAAAAAAGTCCATGTGAAATATTCAACATATTCAGCTGCTACTTCAAGACACAGCTGCACCTAAAATGTTTGTTGACTGCTCAATGTTTAAACTCTTAAAGGGCTTCTGATGACATGGAAATTTCACTCCCATATTTATTTTATATTCTTTGATGTCTTTTATTGGGATTGCAAACATTTGGTTTGAGCTGAGTGGGATGGATAGCTTTTTTTAAAGCTATTTCTGTTGGTCACAAAGGTCAGATTTCGAACGAGTGGTTTTCTCATGAATATTCAAAAGTAGATTTTGCTTCGATTGGGTTACTGTTCTCCTGAATGCAATGTAATGTTGGGGTACTTTTTGAAATAAAATGCTTCTCCATTTGTTTTTCTTGTTACAATAACAAAAAAAAAAAAAAATGCTTGAAAGTGCTAAACACCGTGTCTCCGATTAGGTGATTCCACCGGAAGGTTGGAAACCACGGAAATCCTATGAAGCCATTGAAGATATGGTGATCCCAGCTCCCATCATGCAAGTGGTGACTGGTCAGTCTGGTCTGTTTACCCAGTACAACATCCAGAAGAAGTCCATGACAGTGGGGGAGTACCGGAAACTGGCCAACAGTAAAAAGTAAGTAAACATTCTCCCAACAGGGACTCAAAGCCAACTTCATATTCTTGTTATGCACCTATGTAGATGGTTGAACGTTGATTCATGTAGATGGGGGGTAAGGATGCGAGAGGTTTTTGCTGGTGATGAAACAATCTCATGATGGATGTGTACACATGGCAGCCTTTAAACGTACTTATAAATATTTGGATACTGACACGATTTTTGGTATTCCAGCTCTGAATAACACCACAATGGATTTGACATAAAACAAGTGCAGACTCTAAGCTTTAGCTTAAGGGTAGTTGCATCCAAATCAGGTAAACGGTGTTGTAATTACAGCATAGTTTTACGTGCCGCCCACCTTTTTAAGAGACCAAAAGTAATTGGACAATTGGCTAATCAGCTGTTTCATGGCCAGGTATGTGTCATTCCCTCATTATTTCACTTACAAAGAGCAGATAAAAAGACAAGAGTTCATTTCAAGTGTGGTTTATTCATTTGGAATCTGGTGAGGTCATCTCTCAAAATGAAGCTCCAAGAACTGTCACTATCAGTGAAGCAAGCCATCATGAGGCTGAAAAATCAAAAACATTTGGTGTGGCCAAATCAACTGTTTGGTACATTCTTAGAAAGAGAGAAGGGACCGATGACTTCAGCAACACTAAAAGACCTTGAACAACACAGAGAACAAGTGCAGTGATTGACAGATAAATCCTTTCCCTGCTTCAAAATTCATTGGTCAGTGCTTCACGATACAGATGGACAAAGACCCAAAGTAGACTGCGAAAGCAACCAAAGACTTAGAAGTGTAATAATGTTCTGCAATGAAAATGTGTTTGGGCCAACTGACCGTTCAGCTTCCCCCGGGCCTACCCTGAGCCTGTGGCTGGGGAAGTCCGCCTGGCTGGGGCCCCCCATGCTATGGGGTGGCCATCACTGCGAAGGGTCATCCTGCGCACCCCGGTTAGCCGCCTCACGCGCCGCGTTGAATCCCTCGCGTGGACTGCACAGGCCCCACCCACTTACCACTCAATCGAATCACGACCTGGTGTGAGTCTCGCAAGAATTACGAGATCTCGCGAGACACGATGTTTCGAGAATTATACCTCTGCAGCCAAACACTCATCGTTTTTTTTTTTTTTTTTTTGCGAAAAATGGTAATGGGAAGGTTTCGCAAAAAAATACTCACAAGTGACAAATTGATTTTTGATTATGTTTGTCCAACGTTGGTTCCTTAAAAAGGCGGAAAGTACATAAAAATGTGTTGTAATTCCAACACGTTCACCTGATTTGGATGTAAATACCTTCAAATTAAAGCTCAGCCGGCACTTAAAGCACATCTTGATTGCTTCATTTCAATTGATGCTACAAATTGCATCAATGTCCAGATATTCATGGACCCGTGTGTAGGTGAACTGTCACCCTTCTTCAGATTGCAATATCAAGCTCTAGTACTGAGTTTGTCGTTTTAGTTTTGGTCACTATAAATCTCAGTTTTAAATTGGTATGCAGTGTCGGTCCCATATCCCCAGTTTTGGTCAGAGAACAAATTCAAAGAAAAAAGTTAAAAGCAGGGCTGCAACTAACAATTATTTTAATAATCAATTACTGTTGATTATGCTGGCGATTAATCAGTTAATTGCATAAAGCAAAAACATGTTTTAATTTCCATCCATATTATTTCAAATTGACTGCTGAAAGTACACAATTATGATTGAGTTATTGTCCGTTGCATGACGATGATAGGCATAAAGAATGATCATTGTTTTCCAAAGTAAAAAAAAAATCATTTTGATTCAACACAAAAATAAGCAGATTGCATTCATGGAGGACTACAGAAATCTAACAATATTTATTGTAGAGAGTCTGAAATTCCAAAGTTTAAATTCAGCACAATCTCTGAATGATGAGTAAATTATCCCCCCAAATTATCGATGATTTGCGGGAGCTGCTTTCCACATTCCGCTAAAGCAATGAAAGTGTCAGGATTGCAGATTAAAGTTTAAAACACAAATGCTTGGCATTATTGGTTTGACTGTCACTTTCTCATTGCAGGTTCATTGTCAGCTGTGTACCTTTTTAACTCAACTCGTGTGTTTACCCTGTTTTAGGTACTGCACGCCACGGCATAAAGACTTTGATGACCTTGAGAGGAAATACTGGAAGAACCTGACTTTTGTGTCACCTATCTACGGGGCGGATGTTAGTGGATCTATCTATGATGAGGTGTGTGTTGGAGGGATGTCACCATTTATTCCTACACAATTTTAAAGCATAGTAAATTAAATAGAATGGCCACACCAGTTCATCTGGACTTCTCTATATCAAGTTTTAGAAAGTGGACATACAGGTTAGTCATGCACTTTCAGCTTGTGAATGTCACATGACCAATCTCAGAAGTAGGTAAGCTGTGATTGGTCGTTACCCGAGCCCTAAGGGACTGTGATGTCATTTTCAGTCGACAGCAAGGCAAACTCCATGCCTGTCAAAATTTTCCTGCTGTCTTGAATACAGCAGGAGGTCAACCATAAATTTGCTTGATCATGGACAAAATCAGATGTCAGTCACAGAGCTGGTACACAGGTTTTAGATAGCAGATCTTTTAAGATGAATATACATTGAATAATTCAGTAAATGGGTAGACTTGAGCAATTCAACGTTTTTGTCACATGCTTTTACGGAGGGTCATTGGCTTACAAAGATGTAGTTTGCACAAAGGCGCAAGAATGTCATCTGGCACAAGAAGGCCTGCTCACCATACCCAAAAAAAAGGGATCTTCAAAGCTGGTGCACCATCTGGTGGTGTAACCACAAATGTATAGCGTAGGCCATAAAATTCCATACAAAGGACTTTGGAACCAATGATATGGGGCAGGGGTGCCCAAGTCTGGTCCTAGAGAGCCCCTATCCAGCCTTTTATACATGTTTCACTCCTCCAACACATCTGATTCATTTGATCAGAAAGCTGTTCAAATGCCTGATAACAATCCTGATGATTTAAATCAGGTGTAGGGTAGGGAGACATATAAAACATGCTGGATAGGTGCTCTTGAGGACCGCACTGGGGCACCACTGTCCTAGGGTATCTGAAAAAAAAAAAAAAAGGTATATATAGTATACGTGTTCCCTGTCAATGGAAACTTGTGGCCCACTCTGTAGACTATAAAGGTAATTGTATTAGTTCAAGCTTGTGTTGTTTGACTTTGTCTAAAGTGCATTCTGTCCCGAATCAGGACATTCAAGAATGGAACATTGGCCACCTGAATACACTGCTCGATATGGTGGAGCAAGAGTGTGGAATCGTCATAGACGGTGTGAACACTCCCTACCTGTACTTTGGCATGTGGAAGACCACCTTTGCCTGGCACACTGAGGACATGGATCTCTACAGCATCAACTACCTGCATTTTGGCCAGTCCAAGTCTTGGTCAGTCCGTTTTTCACTTCATTTATGAACACACAACACCATGCTATATGGGTGTATGCAAGTTTGTTTGTTTATATGTATGTTTAAGTTGAAATCTCAAGCTAACACATTTAATTGTTACCATTTGTAACTAACATGTTAGCTATTTAACTATTCATTTCTCTTTAACCTTATCAGACAAGGTGCACAAGTATAGTATAGCATAGCATAGTAACGATGGCCCAAAGGATTACCAATAGTTTGGGTTTATGTTTTTTTTTTTTTTCCATTTTTTAATTCTTTCTTTTGACAGAGAAATTTGATGTGTAGCTGATGGAATGAAAATCTACTGTATTTGAGAACAATCCACTTCACCACCACCGTAATTTCCTGGTAGAATTTTCACATGCAGTTTGTTTTGTTAAAAGTATTAAACAAGAAGTATTAACTCCTGATATGTGGAAGTGGTGTTGTGGGAGGGGTTTTCAGACATTTGGTGTTAGAAGCACGAATCTGAAGAGCACGCACATAACATAAAGCTACTTTTTCCGAGGTAGCAAGAGGGGGCTTGTGCCGAGACTTTACCACACAACTGCAGAAATTGGGGCAAGATCATACATGGGTCTCCATCTAGATAATGTATTCAGGTTTTGTTTGTAACAAACTCATATATTTATAATTTAGTTGTGCCAAATGAGACCAAGTTTTGCCTGAGGAACATAACCCAGATGGGAATAAATGGACAAGTCATGTAAACAGAGGGACATCAACACGTTATCTTCCCTGTCAATG